TATGCTAATGAGTTCCTGCTGGGTGTGGCCAACTTGGGAGCCAGCCGGAACTCTGTTCCTGTGCGTTCCTGCCCCAAAATAGCCCTGCCTGCTATTACAATTGATCTCCAGACTACAGAGATCAGTTCCCCCGGAGAAAATGGCTCCTTTGGAAGGTGGACTCTATGGCATGGCATCCTGCTCAGATCTTTCCCCTCCCCAAGCCCCACCTAGAGATCGCCCACTATCCCAAACCCCACCCTCCCCTGGCTCCGCCCCCCCCAATCTCCAGGTATTTCCCAACCCAGAGCTGGCAACCCTAGTGTACCAGAAATCTGGCTCACTCTCTCTCTGGCCTTCTATTTATTTGTTTACAATATTTATAGCCTGCCTTTCTGCTCTCATCGGGACCACCAAGCTAGCTAACAGACTTTAGACATACATAATATAAATATGTCTTTAAAAGCATTAAAACCAAACAAAAACACATCATTAAAACCATTAAAACCAAAGCTAAAATACACAGAAAGGTAAAGGTAAAGGTTTCCCTTGCTCGAAAGCTAGTTGAATCTGACTCTAGGGGGCAGTGCTCATCTCCGTTTCCAAGCCGAAGTGCCAGCACTGTCTGAAGACTTCTCTGTGGTCATGTGGCCGGCATGACTAAATGCTGAGGCGCATGGAACATTGTTGCCTTCCCACCGAAGCAGTACCTATTTATCTACTTGCAATGTCTTGCTTTCGAACTGCTAAGTTTGCAGGAAAAGTACACATACAACAGCATAAAAACAGCAATTAAAATATTGGGCAGAAAGGTGGGATTACTGAGGGGAATGCTGGAAGAAACAAAAAGTCTTCACCCACTGGCAGAAGATGGCAACAGAAGGAGACTGACGAGTCTCTTGGGAGAGAGTCCTGGAGTTTTTGTACCACAACCAAGAAAGGCCTCTCTCGGGTTGCTACTTGTCTAATCTCAGAAGGCAGGGGTACCGAAGCAGGGTGTGACAGACACAGGCTAGGTTCTGCCTCTCTCTTAGAGTGCAGTCAGACGGCGTGCTGGGAGCGGTTTAAATCGCTCCGGCCCTGATGTGGTTTTTTTTAACCTGGAGAATCGCGATCACACTCACCTCCTTGCTCCGGATTGCTGTGCAGCCACATCGCTCCCTGCCGTCCACACGCGGAAGCGTGCATTGGTGTTGTTTTTCTCTCTCTCTCAGTTTGGGCATGTGCACAGGCAGCCATCTGTAGAACTAAAATTTTTGCGCGTGCGCAGAACAGCGATTTCTACTTCAACCCGACTGCTGTAACACTTTCCTTTAAACTTTAAAGGAACAATTCCCTTTAAACGTTTACCCCAAAAATGGCCTCCGTGAGATCCCGAACTCATCTAAACGTTAAAACTAGGCACCATTTAAACATTGTTTTTAATAACATGGTGGCGGACCTCCGCCTATGCGCACACCGCCAACGCTTTAAAAAATGGCGGGTGAAAAGCGGAAGCCTCGGGCAGCTTTTGAGTGGGAAGGGGGTTTAAACCGGAAATGGCTTGACACTGCAGGAGCAATCAGACATCAGAAAAGTGTGGCTGGAACCGGAGAATCAGGAAAACACCACTTGGGGACCTGGTATCAAAATACTCTGGGTTAAAGCGGTTTTGAGCTGGAAAGCGACAGCTGGGGACGGGAGGCAGATGTTGATTGTGTGACCGCGCAGATAAAATCTGTTTCTGAGGTGGGCCGAAAGCAGACTAAACGGCCCGTCTGAACGCACCCTAAAAGCAACCAATGAGAGCTGATGGAATGCTGAGAGGGGCAGACTTGAAAAACAGCCATTGAAAATGACAGGAGTTTGTAGCAGAGGAGTTGGTGACATAGGACGTGAAGTGAAAAATGGAGGATTACTGACTGGAACTGTGCATAAGAACTACTTAGAGCAGGCTGAAAATAGTCCGTTTGTACCCACAGGATCTCAGTTGCAGGAATAAGACCTCAGTCCAAAAGTTCAACGGAAGCAAAACATTTGTTACTTATATTTTACTTTCCTCCGTGTTTTGTTCAGATCATAAATAAAAGTTTCGTTGTTTTGATTAACTCCATGGGCTGCTTGTCTAAGGGAAAGAAACACACACACACACACACTTTAATATCTCAGTGAGTGACAGTGAGTGATGGGAACAGTGTTTGAGCCCCAACCTCAATACCTCTGTGTGAGCGAGGGCTTGTTATTAAAGGGGGCTGAGCTACCCGGTCTGTTGATGTCTCTGAGACTGAGAGAGAGGACATGAGGTGTGAAATGGTCATGGTCCTCTGTATAGTTTAAAAGAGACAAGAAGGGTAGCTTGTGACGTGCTGACCTATGTATAACCCATCATCTGAGAGAGGGGTTTAAGAGGATGGTAGGCACTCTGTGTGAAGAAAAAAAGGCATCACACAGGGCCTTGGAAGATGACCATAGCAGTCTTGTTGGTTCATAAGCGAGTAGGTGGTCCTTCAGGTATGCTGGTTCCAAGTGGTGTAGGGCTTTCAACTGTGCCCAGAAACAAACTGGGAGGAAGTGTAAATGGGCCAAGACTGGAGTACTATTGCCCCTACTACCCAATCCAGTTGACATCCTGGCTGCAGCATCCTGCACCAACTGAAGTTTCCAAACACTTTTCAAGAGCAGTCCCATGGAGAGTGTGCTGCAGTGATCTAACCTAGACGAAACTGGGGAATGCAGCAGTAGCCAGATCTTTTCTACCCAGGAAAGGCCGCAGCTGGCTAATCAGTTGGCTAGTAAAAGGCACTTTTGGCCCAGCTGCCACTTCCTCATCTAGTGGTAGGCATGGGTCCAAGAGCACCCCGACTGTGGACCTCTTCTTTCAAGGGGCGTGCAACCTCATCCAAAATGAGTGACATCTTAAGACCTGGGTCGGACCTTCTGCTCACCAGTAGCAATTGTTGGAATTAAGCTTCAGTTCATTAGCCCACATCCAAAATTGCTTTCAGGCACTGGTTTAGGATTTCTACAGCCTCCTTGGGATTGACTGGAAAAGCAAAGTAGAGCTGAGCACTATGTGCATATTGGTGAGAACCCAGCCCAGTGTTTAAAAGCATAGGAGACAAGATGAAACCTTTTTATCCCCCCTGACACAGAACTGAGCTGGGCCTTTAATGCGCCAACATTAAGTATGTTTATCTAGAAGTAGGGTTACCAGATATCTTTTTTTAGAGGCTGTGTCCTCTTTTTTTGGTGGCCATCCTCTTTTGGGCTCTTTTTTAAAAAAAGTATGACAATGTCTTCGTTTGGGGTTGGAAGGTTAGGAATATGCCTAGTTAGCTGCAATTATCACAGCTTAAATATTCTAGGCATATTTAAAATGAGATATATCATAGTGATCACTTGGTTGAAGTAGTCATTCGGGAAATATGTCCTCTTTTTTGCTTTTCAAAATATGGTAACCTTATGCAGAAGTCAATTCTAGTGGTACTTGTCTTAGTGTTTGGCACTGGAGCATGGGTCATACTGAACTATTCTCAAGGAATCTCCCAAATTAAGCCTTTATTTTAGGCAGCTGTTTTCTCAGAATGTTAATAAAGCATTTATACATCAAGAAACAAACTTGTCTGATGTACCGCACTCTACATGCTAACCAACATGATATTATTTATGCTGAATTCTGTGTTTTAAAAAACACACACGGTTGTGAACAGTGTTCCCTCTAAGCTGAGTTAGTGTGAGCTAGTTCACAGTTTTTTAGCCTCCGGCTCACACATCTTTGTCTCAGCTCAGGAAGGAGGCTCCAGAGCAAACTGATTTATGCAGTAGCCAAATCACTCGCTCACAACTTTAATGCCAGCAGCTCACAAAGTTGAATTTTTGCTCACAAAACCCCACAGCTTAGAGGGAACATTGGTTGTGAAATATGTGAAAACATTAATCTAAGCAGGTTAAGCGCAGGAGTTACACTGGAATTTTTTTTTAAGTTATTTATTGATGCATGGTACATATTGCTTTGCTCTTTGAGTAGTTCAGGACTGAAAGGAAGTTGGCACAATACATTCCATCTGCTTATGTTGCAGGTCATTGCAGAGCTGAATGACTTGTGGTCCCGTTTCCCTCATTTCCCGTTATAGACCTATATGGGCGCCATGTTGCTCATTTGTTTGCATGCTTATGTCAGCTGTTACTCCCACTCTGGAGGCAATTCATGAGCAGTAGGACTGTTATCAGCCAAAGTAAAGCCCCATTATATTTCAGTGGGAGGCTTTTAAGCACATTCTTAGCTCTCTCACTCGAAACAATGTGACTTGAAAGTGCTTCACTTTGGTAAGATCACGTCCCGAGAGACAAAAAGGTTGGAAATAGCCATATACCTGAAAAAGCATACTCATAGTTGTGCAATGAGCTGGGGATACAAAATGCGGTCAACAGCTGGCCTGAAGACTAGCAAAACGCTGGCAAGCAGATTTCCTGATAGGACTAATTTGCGTGTCTGGGACCAAAGCATTCCTATGGAGGTCCCTCCTCCTACCTCCAAAGCATCCCTCGTCCTCCTGATGAGTGGACCTGCTGGACCTCCTGATGGCACTGGTATTTCTGGCCACTGTGTGACACAGAGTGTTGGACTGGATGGGCCTTTGGCCTGATCCAACATTGGCGTCTCTTATGTTCTTATGTCCTACCTCCATCCCAATGCTTGTGAAACCTTTGAGTCTCACAAGACTTTGCCTTCTAAGCCACAACTGGCAGACCCCATACAGGTTCTGCAGCCCATGTGAGCAGCAATGGCTGGGTAATTTGCGTGTCTGGGACCAAAGCATTCTTATGGAGGTCCCTCCTCCTAACTCCAAAGCGTCCCTCGTCCTACCTCCATCCCCCATGCTTGTGAAACCTTTGAGTCTCACAAGACTTTGCCTTCTAAGCCACAACTGGCAGACCCCATACAGGCTCTGCGGCCCATGTGAGCAGCAATGGCTGGGGCTAAAAGCATATGGCGATGCATACTTTCATGTGTAGAGGCATACTTCAATCCCAAGACACTGCAGGTTGCTTGGGCAGCAGTCTACAGTTGGATAGGATCCAAAATCACTTGAGCAGCAGGCTCTCAGAGGTCTCACCACCCCAGAGATTGGTGGGCTACCTGGGAAACACAGGGCCCCCCCACACCGTGAGGCTCAGGGAGTCGCCCAAAGGATGGCTGTTGCTGGAACTACAGGTGACCAAAGGCAAAGGAAGCCAGGGCGTCTACAGTTGGATAGGATCCAAAATCACGTGAGCAGCAGGCTCTCAGAGGTCTCCCCACCCCAGAGATTGGTGGGTTACCTGGGAAACACAGGGGCCCCCACACTGTGAGGCTCAGGGAGTCGCCCAAAGGATGGCTATTGCTGGAACTACAGGTTCCGTTAGAGTGACCAAAGGCAAAGGAAGCCAGGACTCCTGCAGCTGTCCAGAGGATGGTATTCCATCTGGAATGGCTTCTTATGAGGAACATTGCACCAGCTGAAATGATGGCACAACTATTCAAAGAAGAATAATCCAGATCTCCTTTGCCTTGTAGGTCTCCAGGCCAGTTCCCAACATCCTGTCACGTTCTAGCACAAACCAGCATTGTGATCCTACACAGAGTTACGCCCTTCTAAGACCATAGACTTCAGTGGACTTCGAACAGGCTACCTCTCCTTAGGATTCCACTATAAGAAACAGAACTTAAGTATAAGGCTGTGCAGTTAACGACAGGCTTTGCCCTCCGCAGGGGTCATTTCGTAGAAAAAGAGCTAGGGGGACTCATAAACCAGCATTGTGATCCTACACAGAGTTACGCCCTTCTAAGACCATAGACTTCAGTGGACTTCGAACAGGCTACCTCTGCTTAGGATTCCACTGTAAGAAACAGAACTTAAGTATAAGGCTGCACAGTTAACGACAGACTTTGCCCTCAGAGATCAGAAGGCTGATTTAATACCAATCTTCTTGCTGTTGCCAATCACGTTATTTGATGCTTCCCCATACGAATGAATTGGCTCCTATGGTGAAAATATGAGTGCTGCACTTGGGGGATATGGGTGAAACCTCCCTTGCACCCTAGATGCTAGGTGGCCTGGCCCCTCTGACGGCATTCTGGGGGTGAGGGGCTTCATTTGAACCTCCGGGGGCCGGACTTCCCTCCTCACATAATTTGCCTTTCGATGGGCATTCTGTTTGGTTTAATAATCATTCCCACCCACCCCCACTGGCCCTCTTTGCTGCACAGAAGGCTGCGACTGCTGCCCGCTACTGATGCAACTGGGTTATCTCAGTGCCATTAAAAAAAAAACTCTGTTAGGACCTCTGAGCGGCACAGGGTCTTATGCTGACAATGGTGAAGTGACTCCCACGGCACCTGAGGAGGCCGGCCTCGCATTCCGTCATCGTCTGCTGGGCAGCACTGCCATCCAGTTGCACACAGATGCTTATTCCATCGCTGCTGCAGGCCCCATCTTGTCTGCACGTGCATTTGTTGGTGGAATCTAAACGACAGCCACAAACCAGCAAGTTAACCCACGGAGAGGACAATCAGACCAGCAATTGACTGAACAGTGTGGGCTCAACAAATGAAAGGGCAAAGCCTGAAAGATGCAGAGGAGAAGGGCAGGGAGAAGGAGGAGGAGGCGGAGAAGGAGGAAGGGATGAAGAAGGAGAGGAAGGAGGAGAAGAAGGGGAGGGGGAGGAGGGTTGGATTTATATCCCACCCTTCACTTGGAGTCTCAGAGCACTTACAATCTCCTTCCCTTCCTCTCCCCACAACAGACACCCTGTGAGGTAGGTGAGGCTGAGAGAGCTCTGAGTGAACTGTGACTGACCCAAGGTCACCCAGCAGGCTGCATGTGAAGGAGTGGGGAATCAACCCACTTCTCCAGATTAGAGTCCGCCACCCTTAAACACTACACCAAACTGGGCATGTGAAGTGGGTTTTCAAATACGTAAAAGGGCTTAAAAATAGCCTACCTGACCCATTCAATAAAAGACCAAAGGCTATTGGTTTAAACTAAACAGTGGAGCAAGATGGTCCTAACCGTGAGGGCAATCTGCCAGCGCAACAAGCTGTGTCGGGAGGGTGCGAGGTCTTGTTCCTCGGGGGTTTTCATCCAGCTCTAAGATCACAAACTCAGAAGGGCCTACCTGACCCATTCAATAAAAGACCAGAGGCTATTGGTTTAAATTAAACAGTGGAGCAAGATGGTCCTAGCTGTAAGGGCAGTCTGCCAGCACAACAAGCTGTGTCGGGAGGGTGTGAGGTCTTGTTCCTCGGGGGTTTTCATCCAGCTCTAAGATCACAAACTCAGAAGGGACCCAACCAGCTTTGACCCTCTGGAGAGTTCATAGCCTGCTGCAAGGTGAATGACCATCGTGGTGGGGTGGGGAGTGAGAGTTCATGCCATGCATTCCCTAACCCGGGGGTCCCCAGCCTTTTTGACCCCACGGGCACCTTCAGGATTCTGACACTGTGTGGTGAGTGCAGCCACAAAATGGCTGCCGCAGGAGGTGGAGCCAGCCACAAAATGGCTGCCACAGCTTTCCTTCAGTCACACAGTGAAGACCTTGTGTTGTGGTGGTGGCTGCTGCCAAAGCTAGTTTTAAAAATCTGTACAGCCAATCAGAAGCCTTGCTGGGCAGAAGACCCACTTGGCTCCACCCACTTTCTAAAAACACTTGGTGGGCACCAGGAAAGGTGCTGGCGGGCACCATGGCACCCTCAGGCACCAGGCTGTGAACCCCTGCCCCAATCTATGTGTGCGCAAAGGTCTGTCATGCTTTGAGGGAAGGGAACAGGTTTTGCCCCAGTCAGCAATGACAGTCTGCAGCCCACTGAAATGTGTTGGAATTTCCAGGTGCGATGTCCCTGCCTCAGCCTCCAGACGTCGTGGCAAGAGATAGTAGATAGCTAGATAGGCACACTGGCCTTTCCTTCCTGTCTTTACTCTTCTGCCACTGTCCACATTGATATGTAGATTGTGTTCTCAGGGACAATGTCCTCCCTTCTGTTCACTCTCTCAGATGGTGACAAACTCTCTCCCTGCACACACCAAGAGGGATGACATACACCATGTCTTGGCACCATCTGCTTCCATCCTTGCCATCTGCTTCCATCCTTAGCTAGTAAGTTAGTACTCTGTCCTGTCCCTATTCTTTCGTATCCAAAAGTGTAGTTATTTAATAAAGAGAGAGGTATTTCTCTGTTAAACTTGCAATGAGGTTCTGTGTAGCTTTGTCAGCTGGGTAACCTGGTAAAGTGACGCTGCTGCGTTTGTAGCTTTATTAAAGCACTCTGAGGTTAAGACGTTGAGCTGCAGACCAGAAGGTCTGTAGTTTGGCCGTTTGAGACCCAAGTGCTGTGTGACGAAGTGAGCTCCCATCTTTGGCCCCAGCTCCTGTCAACCTAGCAGTATGAAAGCAAGAAATTGCAAGTAGATAAATAGGTACTGCTTTCGTGGGAAGGTAACAATGTTCCATGCACCTCGGCGTTTAGTCATGCCGGCCACATGACCATGGAGGAGTCTTCAGACAACACTGGCTCTTCGGCTTGGAAACGGAGATGAGCACCCCCCCCCAGAGTCAGATTCGACTAGCTTTCGAGCAAGGGAAACCTTTACCTTTACCTAGCTAGTGGGAATTGGACTAATTACACCAGTTAACCCCAACAGAATGTTCCTCATGGGCTATGCTTGGGCCAAACTGAGAACCAGTCCAAGCCCCTCCTAAGAGGCCGGACAACCATTCTTCCCAGTCAACAGCCACCGAGTGTCAGAGGCAGAGAATAAGTGCACCTGGTCTCTTTGTACTTACTGGTTCAAATGCATCATCATATGGGTATTGGTGCAGGCTGAAGTATCTACACTTAGGGTCTTGCACATGGTCGAGGGGAAGGGTTGGAGTCTCTTACCGTCACACGTTTCCCACAAGTGGCACGAGCCACAAGGTCTCTCGGCCGCATTGGCCGTTATGCAGTTTTCCTTGCTGACCAAGGTATACAGTCTTCCCACGCACTCCAGAGCATGCAGCTGACAAACAGTTAGCCATGTAGCTCTCTTGGTTCTGGCACTTGTTGCACAGACGTCCAGGGAAGGCCTGAAAAGAGAACCGAGACATTGTGCTCTCAACCTGGTTCTCCACTCTTCATAAGATAAGCCGACCCACTAAGGCCTGAACAACATGTTAACGGCGGTCACGGGATGAACTTGTGGCGACCATCGCCATTTTACAAAAGAAGAACTGGACCATTTAAAAAACGCCATGCAGCTAAAAATCAATCTCCCATTAACACCAGAAATTTATTTATTGAACATGTTACCAGACACAATTAAAAAATCATCCTTATACTAATGCTGAAGTTGCCCCCTCCGTGCGGATACTTAAATCAGCACGGAGGGGGCAGCTGGGGGGCCGGGGGAGGTTTGTGCACACGTGGGCCAGTCCCCACGTGTGCACAAAAATAAAAAAAGTTTTTAAAAATTTCGGGGGGATGTTTAAATCCCCCCGAAAGTGCAAGAGCGTCTCCTGCGCATGCGCAGGAGACGCTCTGCAACGCCGCCACCGCTGCCGCCGCCTCGGACCAGCTGGCGGGCTGGCGGGCGACGGGGGGGAGGAAGCCGGGCCTCGCCGCCGCCGCTGCCTCCCCGGAGCCGGCTGGCCAGCCAGCCAGCCAGCCGGCCGGCCCCACA